CTGATGGCTCTGGTCCTCTGCTGGGGGAAGGAGGAACCCAGGAACTGGTGGTGAGGGCAGGGTTGGGCACATCACCTCCAGCTTACTGCTTCTTCTGCTGTGACTGAGGCATCTTGCCATGAGTCCTAGAACAATCACTTGTGTCCAAAGGGTCCCAGTCCTCCTCCTCCACCTGCTGGTCGTGGCCTTGATCCTGGACCCGCCTTCTCTCCAACATCTCAAAAAAAATTTGGCAGCTGAAGCCCTCACTGATGCCATACTGGGCATGCTCCAGCAACGCTTCCAGTGTGGGGAAAACTCGACAGCAGGCCATGCAGCGCAACCCATAGTTTGTGGTGACCAGCCACTCTGGGGGATCCCGCAGGTCCTGAAAGCAACAGTCCATTGGTCCCACCAGCTCGGAGTCATCTGGCTCTTGAAGGCAGTTCTTACTGGCTTCCAAGTCAGTAAGATCAGTGTTGGAAGCTATCTCGAAGGAGGAGCCTATCCTTCTCTGCCTCTTCATGAATTCGGCTTCATGTATGCGTGGCTTCCTGTTGACTGGCTCAAATCCCGCCTCGGTTTCCCAAGCCACAGCCACTCCCTGCACGGTCTGCACATGGGTATAGAAGGCGTACACGCTCTGCTTGGCCACGTCCTCCTGGTCACACATGCGTGAGTAACAGGGCTGACACTGGGAGTAGGACTGGTACTCGGAAGAGGACTGGGACGAGAGAGACCTGCTCCAGCTCAGTGTCCCCGGAGCCCTGGAGAAGTAGAGGTCCTTGTTGTGGCGAACAGCAGGCCCTTGTCGAGGAGAGGTCCCTAAGACGTGAAGAATATTTTCATCAATCTTACTAATGAAAGAGGAGCCAAAGACCCAAAGGGCATAGGTTCGAGGAGCCCCTAAGCAAGTAACCCCACTCCTTCACCTTGCTGATAAAGTGAAGATAGTAATGCTGACTGCCTCAGAGCGTGATTATTAGTATCAAACAATGACTGAATGTAATCACCAAAAGGAATCCCTAGATTAAAGTACTTGGCGGATGACTGAAAGGCTGGAGGTTTGAATTCACCTAGCAGCACATCTGAAGAAAGACTAGGAGATTTACTTCTGAAAAAATTAACCATTGGCTCACCATGCGTTAGAATCCAATAGATAGCAACTGGTAAAAACCATAAAAACAGAAAGAATGAAAACATCCCAATCCTAACTAGTTGCTGTGAGTCCATTAACACTCTAACAACCCTACAGAACTGAGTAGAATTGCCCCATAGAGTTTCCAAGGCTATAAAATTTTATAGAAACAGCCCCATGGAGCGACTGATGAAGCACTGGGTTCAAACCATGACCTTTCAGTTAGCAGTCAAGTGCTTAATCACAGCATCAAAAGGACTCCTTAATTGGTAGATAAATGAACTGTAAGGCATTCATACAAGGCAATGCTATTCATCATTGAAAAGGAATGATACATACTACAGTATGGTAGACTTTCAAACGCATTGTGTTAAATGAAAGAAGCCAGATTTGAGGGGCTTATGAGTCAGAATTGACTCCACGGTACTTAACAACATGTTGCTAGTAGTCCCCAATTTAGGATGTATTCCATTTATAAGGGAACTGTACTTATGACTATCTGTTTTGGGGTGTTTTTTTTTACAACTTACTAGTAATATGCACTATGTTGTTGTTGTTAAGTGCCATCAAATTGGTTCTAACCTATAGTGACCCTTTATAAGGCTTCCAAGGAGCAGCTGGTGAGCTTGAACCACCATCCTTGTGGTTCAAACTGACTTTGCAGTTCAGTGCACTAACCCACAGCACCATACCAGGACTCTATAAGCACTATTTGTTGCTGTTGTTGTTGTTGTTAAGTACCGTAGAATCAGTTCCGACTTACAGTGACCCTGCACAGAGTTTCCGACGCTATAAATCTTTAAAGGAGCAGAACACCTCATCTTTCTTCTGCAGAACTGCTGGTAGTTTAGAACTGCTGACCTTGAGGTTGACAGCCTGACTCCTAACCACTACACTACCAGAGCTCATTATATGCACTATATAGAGTGTTAAAATATTGCTGGAAATTGAGATATAATGTTTCCAGCACCCAAAGACAAAGATCAGATCTTTATAAAGATTCTTATAATAAAAGACAATAATAATGAAAACCTTTTAATTTATTGGGGTATTAGACTTATGTCAGGACTGATTTACAACAGTCTTCAGGAAGGGAATCCATCATAACTGGGGACTACCTGTACATGTACCATTTATATGACATTTTAGAGAAGGCAATTCTGTAGGGATAGAAAAATCATGGCATTGAGCACTAAGGGTAAGGATGGAATTGACTTAATTGATGGAGTTAAAGTTTTTTTGGGGTGTGTGTGTGACAAACATGCTCTTTTTTTTTAAGTTTTTAATTGTGAATTAAGTGATAGTTTACATGGGAGTACATCAGTTTTACACTCATTTCATTGCAATGATTACAATCTCCTCCATGCATTTGATTCGATTCCCTCTGGGTTTTTTTTTTTTTTTGGGGGGGGGGGATGTACACACAAACACTCAGGAATATATAATCATTTAAACAACCAAAGGGCACATTCTGCAAGCCTGCCTCCTGGGCACCAGCACACAGCCTTTCTCTTTCCATGAGTCGAGTCCTCAGCTGCTCTCTCTCCATGTCTTCATGTCTCCATCTCTGGTGTCACTGCTTCTCTGGATAGGGTCCCACATTTCGCTCATTATCTTCTCCCTTGATGGTCCTAGGCACCTGTTTCTGGACAACTACTGCCCTGTTTTTGTTACAAAACTTCTACCTTTACAGTTGTGACAGTCTCAATTAGTCATTATAACAGTTATTCGCTATTGAATCAAAAGAATCTTATTCGTATCTCCTTTCACCAGACTGGTCTAGTCAATATGAAAGCTATTCAGTGGGGATTCTGCCTTCCCCTGCACACTCTGAAACTAAACTCCCTCTTGAAGTCTTGTAAGCCAGTCACTCCATGCCTTTATACCTCCCTTCTCCCCTCCCCACCCCGCCCCATTTTAGGTAGCCAATGTCTAAGTTACCTATCCCTATATACAGAGAAGATAGGATTGGTACTTGATATGAAGACTACTTCCCTCTCAGTTGCTGTTTTAAGCTACTACCTCCATAAGGATATGTCAAGTTCATCAAATTGTAGCAATTTACACTTTCTTCCTTTATAAAATTTTATTTCTTTTTCTTTTTATCTTCCTCTAGTTGAATTCTGATCATCAAGCCATTGAAGCTAGGTTGAATGGATACTATCTACAAGTTTGGGTGTTCATATGTGTCTCCCTCACTTCATATCAGCTGGATACTTCACTCTCAGCTCTAGCCCTCCATGGTTATGTCCTTTTCCATGGCTCAGGTGTCCCCAGATCTCACCACACTTCGGACCAACCAGCTCTTCCTCTTCTGTCTCTCATCTCTAATTCAATGGAAGTCTATGGAACGTGGTCGAACTCAGCCCATTTTTTATCATTGCTGCCTTTCCCCCTCTTCCACTCACCCATAGACCAACATGGTCACCAGCAAGCTTACATGCCTGTTCAAGTGTTTCCTTTGAGTTTCAGTCTTGAAAGGGGGTTTGTCCTGAAGGGACTTGATTGCTTGCCTTGATGGCTCTCCAGCATACAACTTGCTTGTTCTTGTAATAGCCATTCAGATCTGCTGTTTTTGTTTCATTTTTTTCTGCTGGTCTTTCTTTCAGGAAGTTATCTTCGGTTCCTCCAGCTCTTCTAGGCTGGTCTGCTTGTCCTTTCAAGTGAGAATGTCCCACCTCAGAAGGTTCTGGATGGGGCTCAGGATTCCACCTAAGGTCCTACACACTACAAAGGTGCCACAGGAAGTCTTTTCACTGGGTAAGTTTTAGAACCCCTTTTAGGTATTCCAATAAGTTATAGGCTGAAAACGGGCTTACAAGATTTCTGTAATCATGTTTTCCAATATTCCTTTCTATCCTACTCAAGTGTTTATTTTACAATAGTAGGCAAGGGAAACCAATATTCATTGGACAGTCAAGCATCTTAACATTATTTCCCCTGTTTTTCCCATTCAGACTATACTTCACTCCTTGTATTACAGAGCCCTCTTGTTCCAAAATTGAACATACATAACTATTTACCTCTGTCCCATTTAGCCCATGCTAACCTGCCTCAGTGTTGTCATATCTTCTCTGTTCTTCCATTCCTTCCCCATTCTTGAGATAAACATGCTCTTATAAATGAGTGTGATGGTTATATTAAGTAAAGATCTATCAAAATGTACAGTGTTTTGAAAACTGGTAAAGTTTTTGCATGTAAATTATAACCCATAATGTCAATGAATTCATAGTGACCGTGTACAGGGTTTCTGAAGCTGTAAATCTCTATGGGAGCAGAAAGCCTCGTCTTTCTCCCACGGAACAGCTGGTAGTTTGGAACTGCTGACCAATTCATAACCACTACGCTACCAAAGCTCCTGGTAGTGGTAACCACTACACTACAAGAGCTACAGGAGCATAGTGGTTATGAATCTTAAGGTTACAGTTTGAAACTACCAGCTGTTCTGTGGGAGAAAGATGAGGTTTTCTGCTCCCATAGAGATTTACAGCCTTGGAAACCCTATACAGGGTCGCTATGAGTCGGAATCAGCTCCACGGTACATAACCACCACCACCAATGTCAATGAAAAACAAGCAATGCACGGAAAGGATGTGCCTCCTATACCATTTGTGATGTGTCTTGTCTTCATATCCCTACCATAACCCATCCTCAAGTACTATTTGTATCCCAGACACCATGTTTTTATTCAGTATTCAAAACAACCCTAGGAGATGGCACTGTTATTACTCTCATTTGACAGATTTGGAAGTTGAGACACAGTAAATTTAAGTACTTGGTGGAGCCAAAGCTGGTACCAGGCCCTTGACCTTGAGAGCCTTAAGGGCTACCTCAAGACTCCTTCCTACTGACTTCCACACTGAAGAACTAGGATACCTGTAATAAATTTATTTTAAAGACATTTTTATATTATTGCTGAAATCATAGGATTAGCATATTGATTCTATTTTTCTCTAATACATGTATACTCTAAATATTTAATTATATTTTACAATTTCATACATACACCTTCTGAAATCACCTTACTCATAGCAACTTGTTGTTGTTGTTGTTGTTAGGTGCCATTGAGTCGGTACTGACTCATAGTGACCTTATGCACAGCATGATGAAACACTGCCCGATCCTGGGCCAATCTCACTATCGTTGCCACGCTTAAGCCCATTGATGCTGCCACTTGGCCAATCCATCTCGCCGGGGGTCTTCCTCTTTTTCTCTGAACCTCCACCTTACCAAACATTATATCCTTCTCCAGCGACTGGTCTCTCCTGACAATATGTCTGAAGTATGAGAGATGAAGTTTGGCCATCTTGGCCTCCAAGGAGCACTCTGGCTGCACT